GGAGAGCAGGGCGCGGACCCATTAGGTCTAGGAATTCCTCGCCGATAGCCCAAGTCAACGCACGCGCACCGCCCGCTATCTGTGGCGCCGGGCCGTCGTCGTCGGGGGAAAGGATGGGGCGGGGCTATCAGTCCCTTGGAATGCAAGGAGGAAGCAGGATGAGGCGCTCCCTGGGCGCAGCGAAACAGGAAGACCGACCTGAAAGTGACTTGTAGGCGCTTCCTTTTACTTGCGACGGTTCAGGGGCGCTACGTGGGTAGAGAAGTACAAATACCAATAGACTCCAGCGAGTGTGTATTCTGGTATGTTATTTTATAACAGTTTGTACGTGCAGAGATAGCCGTCGTTCCAGACCAATATTTAACTGTAGCAGAGGTCCGAATAAGTTATTTAACTTTGAAATGAAATGATCACAATAGTGAAATGATGAGTAATCAGAATGTAGCCTAGTTGAATAAAAGTCAGGGGAATCAGTAAAATCCTGAAAAAAAGATATTGCGAATCCACAATGTGACATGGATCAATAGGAATTTAAACTCCTGTAGCCAGAATTCGAAAGCCGGTTCGCTGGTCGCCACACATATGAAATGTTATTAGAAAGAATACAAAAGAATAAGAATGACAAACAGAAGAATAACTTCATGAACAAGTATTACAGTACTTTATTCCAAAGTGTTAGGAATGGTAGCAGCACTGCTTATGAGGCTTTCGCAACGTAATACACGAGGTAGGCCATATGTCCGTAGTATTAACACCAAGTGATCGACAAAAGTGCAAGTTTATACCAAAATCTGTTTAAACACTATACACGCTCACACGTTATAACCGTTATACGATTTGCATACGCAGTGTCCACAATATGATAGTTCTTCTAGTAAAGAAGCCAAAGACGGCAAAATATTAATCAGCCAAGACTAATGTAAAATAAACGAGAATACTTGCACAATTTTAAACTTACCGCTGTCAATGCCGCATGACTTCCAGAACAATCTTGGCAATCGAGATAGCCCGACAGTCCGTTTTCATGCAATACGAGACAGACAGCTTTACTTCATCGGGTCTGTGCTCACAATTTTCAGTCGTTCTGTACAGAAATTCGTCCTACCTCACCAGAGAATGTAGCGAGGGGCGAA